ACCCTGCCCTAGAGAGATGCCAGGCCAACTAAGGATTACAGTTTCAGCTTCACAAAATGGGTCGTTCAGAGATCCCCGCAGACCAACCTGCTGCCAAACTGTCTCGGAAAACAGCAGGTTGTTTTCCTGCACTCTACTCAGCATCCAGGGACGCCCAGCTCCTATCTCTTAGGGGAAGGAGAAAACAACCTTGCTAGTTGTCCTTTACAAGGATTGCTGTAGGTGCTCCAAAGAAGTTCTCTCCAAGGAAGAGAGGACGGGTTCGTTCGATCGGGACCCATCATTCCCCGCGTGCCTCTGTCCGCCAGGCCTTTTCCACTTACAATACAGTTGCGTGGCATTTTTAATGGGATGCCATCTGACTCTGCAGCCCCGTTGGGTCCAGCTCCTTCTTTCCTTCTCTTCCTGGAGTTCAGTCTGGCGGAGACCTGGGGATCCATCCTGTAAATTGCCTCTGGAAGCTCGGCTGGAAAGACCTGCAGGATCCAAGCAGGCGTTTAGACCCCTTGAAGCTAAGAGATCTGCTGAAAAAAAGGCTCGGTGCCCAGTTGTCCAGCTGGCCAACTGAATGTCAAAAAAGCAGAAGTGGCATGCTGGCAACAGCTTCTAACACATTGGTCAGGAGAAGTGGGGCAAGGGGGGGATTCACTGCCCTCTCAAGCATGAATTGCTCATCTCTGCTCAAGTGACAGTAAAACCAGCTGTCCAGGCAGCAGGACTTTCTCTCCCAACCCAGTAATCATGCTGAAACTGTGGGCAGGAACGCTGCTTATTTTATTACTGTAAAAGCACTGGGCCAAAGTTTTTAAGGGACTATCAAAAGCACAGCACTATAAAACACCACTTCTACAATCAGCCGGCACGCTGAGAAATTGAGCTCAAGCAGAGCTTCCAATAGAAAAAAAAAAAAAGCACAGTGCTCCAAAGAACATGCCCCCCCTTTTCTTTCCATTCAGACTTTTTTAGAACCCCCACAAAGACTCTCTCCATGTCTCCCTTTCGTTTCAGCGAAGAGAGTCCCGAGTGCATCCAAACGGTTCAGAAACACTGCACTTGGTGGAATGCGTCCAGTGCAAGAGAATCTCTTTTTTTCTTGGGAACAGATTCCAAAAGGAAGGAATGGAGCCCCACTGTGTTCGCGGCCTGGGATGGCAGCTCCCTCAAGAAATTCCCACTCCTTCAGTTCTCTGATAATCAGCTTATTCGCTAAGTCTGGAATTTCCTGACACTGTAGGAGGAGAGATGCGTAGTCTATGGTAGCCAAAAATCAGGCGTCTGGTGGCATCTGTTCTGACTAGCAAGCTTTATTACAAAGCTATGATATTAAAAGGTTATGGTAATAAATTATATTAAAGGGCTATTTTCCAGAAAAGTCTACAGTAGCCAAAAATCAGGAATCTGGTAGCACCTTTTCCAACTAACACATTTCATTAAAAGGTTAAGGTTATGCTTTTTAATAAAACGTGCTAGCTGGAAAAGGTGCTACCAGATTCCTTCTGACGGGGAATTTCTTGCTTACAACTCACAGTCATGCTGGACTTGCCCTTCTGCCACCAAGAAACTGTCTGATTCTCTTTGTGAAGCTATCAAAGAGCCTTCCCAACCTATCTAATGGCATCAAATGTTAAGAGGCGATGAAAGATCTTAGCTTTTAACAAGAAAAAAAAAAGCCTTTCTAGTAATCTTCACCCTACCTTCCAATATTTTAGAAATGCTGACCCATTTGCACTCATGGTCCCACTATTCCGACCAGATCCTCTCTCTGTTGGGGCTGTAACTCCCAAAATTCTCCGGCAGCATGGCCAAAATCACTGGTAATTCTCACTGATCATGATTAGCCATTGCCGGTTGGCTAAGACACCGCACATCACACTTCATCAAGTCAATTCAAGACTTAGTAGTGTGAGCCTAGGCTGAAGCTGCCATAACTAAAGATGAAGCAGGCAAGCAGGCAGAGAGGACAAACAGCCAGGAATCTTGTCTAAAAGATCCTCTTGAGGAGGTAGATAAGAAGGGAACAAGTAGTTAAGGAGACAAAGGAAAAATGTCACCTGAACCAGACAAAGGAAGTTGGGCCTGAGCACATGGAAACCCTACCCCCTATTCCCATCAACAGCTACCAGACTTGTAAATTAACAAGGCAAGAGTAGCTGCCAGTCTTGTGAATCAACAATGCAAGGACTTTTGGGGATAAAAGGGGTTCCTGAAGCCCATCCACTCCTTGAGTCATCTTTGGATCCAGACTTGGCAGCTTCTGTTCCTCTAGCTCAGTGTTTCTCAACGTCGACAAGTTTAAGATGGGTGGACTTCAACTCCCA